AAAAAGAATCACCTGTTTAGTCATTCTGAACAACCCCACCTTATTTAAAGTCATATGAAAGCGTTCACCGGTTTTGTGTGGCACAGTTTGAAAGTGAACTACGCTGACTGAAAGGTGAATCTGAGATAAGGTGTCATATCACTTGTTATGTTCAAGCATTCTCTCCACCTATTCATCTCTAGTCTTTTACAGTTTAGCCAAAAAGCTTCAAGGGCTTATCGTGTTGAAGTTTCTGATTCTTGCCCCCGGATTCTTACTATCACAACAAAGTCCGTTTCTTCATGTTTTTTTACTCTGTGCGCCCCTAAAGGCTTACTTGCTTCGTTGTTGGCTTTCTCATCTAAGTGTTTTTTGATGCGGATCCAAAGTGTCCTCCTGTCTCGTCTGTGTATTCTTCACCGCATGTTGTTCGCGAGATCAGGTGCATTGTACCTGAACTCATGCATTAGGGCATACTTTACAATTGTCAATCTAAGATAAACGGTCTTACAAGCGTTTCCGAGCCAACTGGCAACGTAAATTATTAAGAGGAATTTCTACGATTCTTGCGAAGTTTTCTGAAACCACTGTTTCTTAAACATCTTTCTTCAGCATCACATAGCCGTACTTATTTTCACTCGTTATAATAGGTAGTTCAGAATATCTTTCCGTCTAGGCTTGAAACAATATCGTTTTCTTTATTATGTTATAGAGCTTATCACTCCTTATTAGCCTAACTTCACTGGCTGCTCTTTCGTAGCCTTTGAAATGGCAATCTTTCGCACCAATGCCATCAAATTTATGAGGAGAAAGAAGGACCAAAATCGTGCAAGCAAGATGAAAAAAAGTACAGTTTTTAAGAAATTGAGAAGCTTATCATTGAAGAAAATAACCCCTCCAAAAAGATACTCTCTATTTATCTCGTGAAAATCAACATCAGTGGGCCCATTGTTCTTTTTCAAAGCAAAAGAAGTTTTCCAAAAGAGTCCGTTCGTAATGCTCGTCTTTAGTGGTAGCCTGCTTCAGGCATCGTGGCAACCATAAGCCATTTCGTTTTCCTAAATTGTTTCCAATAACACCAGAGATTGCTAACGTTACGCCCGCGCGCGTCCGCCGATGGTCTGGGTGATTGTTCAAGGGGACTTTTGCAATCTTTTTGAAACTATTCTGCTGTTTTATGACTGATTTATCTGTATTTCTCTATTAATGCTAACTTTCCTGCAATCCGAAGATGGATAGTCTGAAAAGATTTTAATGATGCATTACGATTGAACGTTGTGGAAGATAATTGAATTTCAGAAGGCATAGTTTGAGCGTTCTGTACGTTATACAAAGCTTTTTGAGGTGATTGAAGAGCTAGTTTTGAGTCCTTTAATTTGTTGGTGGCGTCTTCCAGTGATATATCATTTCACCTCCATGTTATTTTCCACATTGACTGACCGTCTCACGAATACACACGAGATACTTTCTGTAATTAGAGAACCCTCTAGTCCGATTGATTCACATTTTTAATCCTCATCACTGGGTATTGTTCTAATTTATGCTTTATCGAATCTTCTATACACTTTTCAACTCACTGATCACCGCCTCTGCTTCGTTGTTACTTCTTTGATAAGTAACAATACATCTTCGACATACGAGCGCATGCGATTAGAAGTGCTTTGCGGCGTAAATATGTTCGATAATTTGATCTGCGCTCAAGGCTCACATAACCATCTATCGCTCTGGGGCAGTAAATTTGCACCGGACTAGTCTCAGACCGTTTAGGAGGATAAGCAGCTCTGTCTCGATACAGCAGGAGGTCACCGCAATCCATTATAAAGGCCAGACATGTATTCATCCACTTCAAACGGAACTGAAAATTGTCATGTCGCATCCCTTAGAAACTGATCAACATCCTTTCATCCTTTTATCTTCAGCAAAGCGAAAGTTTGATGGACCTCTTCATCAATACATATGCCTATCTTGTTCCAGTCGAGTGGCTTCACTATCCACTTTCCTGTGACTGCAGACTGCTTTGAGAATAATGTGTCGCCCTGTCGAAACCATTTTTCCGTAGATATGGTAAGAAATAGTTGATAAATCTGTCACATCACGTTGAACACTGAATGGTTCGAGGGACGCACCAAACTCGAACCTTCTAACGTCACACACTTGCGTTATGAATACGCGGAGCATGGCACAATTTGATAGCCACTTGGGTTGCGAACACTTTTAGGCCAAGTTGTAAGCTCCGACCGATTTAACCCTCGTTCACAAGACAATTATTTAGTTCTAATAGTCAGATTTTGCATAGTAAACTTACTCATAAGAATATCGCCGTTATAATATAATTGCTATGCATTCTTTACTGCTGTTACTGTTTTTAGCATCTCTTCGTTTTTTTTTTTCGTGAGCATTTCGTGAGCTATATAAATAGTTCACGATCAAAACATCTCTATTTTACAATAATATCACCATCGACGTGAGAAGAGGGATTAGACAAGTCGATACAATTTCGCCAAAACTATTCACTGCCACCCTACAAAACGTCATGCGAACATTAGAATAGGACGATATGAGAGTGGAAATTGACGGTCGACGATTAAACCATCTTCGCTTTGCTAATGATTTCGTCCTCATAACACCAAACATCAGCCAAGCGAACGAATGTTGACCGATTTCGATAACGCCTGCGGAAAGATTGGTCTTCAACTAAATCTATCGAAAACGATGTTCATGAGGAACGGATGGGTTTTGAATGCCCCATTCACGCTCAACGGAACGAAAATCTCCGAACGCTCCAGTTACGTTTATCTAGGTCGTGAAATCAACATGACGAACGACATAGCTCCAGAGATGAGCAGGAAGAAACGAGCGGCTTGGGGAACGTTTAAGAACATCGAAGATGTAGTAAAGAGGACAAAGAACATCCCGCCTTTGTGCTCACCTTTTCGACTCGACGATTATCCCTACCCTGATGTATGGCAGCAGAAATCTGGCCGCTACATAAGCAGCATGAAAGATCACTTGGCGTTATTGAACGCGCAGTCGAAAGGTCGATGCTAGTCCCGTATCTCGCAAATGAGAGAAAGGATTTGAAGTTCCGACCTACGTCAACGATTGGAAATCAGAGACGCCGTTCTACATGCCAGGATATCGAAAATAAGATGGACCGGACACGTGATGCGCTTCAACGACAACCGATGGACGAGAGCCGTTACTGACTGAATTCTACGGGACATTAAGCGCTCTACAGGAGGACCACCAACCCGTTGGTCCGATTCCTCCACGAAAGCTATAGAAGAAAGATATGATGCTCAGCGAATCCCTAGAGCGAGGAGAAACCACTGGGCTGCTCTTGCACGCGATGGGGAAAAAATGGAAGTGTTGCTGGTACCCGCTCGAGTCATACGACGATCAACGGGACGACAGGTGATACAGATGATGCAGGTGATGCATTCTTGAATCAACTTAGTCATGACTAACAACAAGCATTCAGTGAACCCCTTTAGTATGAAACGGGTTTGAAACAGCTATTGACTTGGTCTTTGTATGCATCCTTCACACGTGAGTCTTCATAAATGCTTTCAATGAGATATGTCTACAAATTTCAAACGTTTGATCCTTTATGTGAGGCGTTATTGAATAGGAATTTGCTTGCATGTTTTGAGTTTTTCGCTACTTTTGAAACTAAAAGAGAATTCCATAGAAAATTAGTGTCAAAACGAATACGATCTTGATGATGTTAAATACCAAGTGGTTCGAGAGTGTGAACAATTCGCTTTCAGAACGAGAATTTTGGTTTTTAAGTGCTTCTCTAATTCGATTCAGTGGTCGCTTTTCTCCTGATCTTACTAACTGTTTAAATATATGAAATTTATTATTGTCGAAGATTTTGTGAGATTTATTTCAATCCCTTTACAAAATGTGCGCTACATCGAGCCGTGATGTCACTTTATTAGTAGCCACTAAGATACAAGAATAGCTCTATTAGAGAACATACGATCCGCCAGCTATGAGCACCCTCAGTTTAGTTAAAGTCGAAAAGTGTAATATGGCACAGAGGCGTAGATTTATTCGTTTCGTTTGCATTTTCAATAACTTTAGTCAAATAAATCTCAGCTTATAAACTGTTGCTTACTGAACAGACGTCATACATCGCCAACATTCTGAGAATTTTCTAGAGCGATAAGCTCTTTAATTGGGCTTGTTCCTGAGATGCAATGTGCTTCCGATAACGTTATCGCTCTACGATAGGCCAACGAATCTGTGCCATTGAAGCCTTAAGCAGACGAACCCCGTATATTGTTGCTTCGTCCGTCGAACGTCCGCTCCGTTTTCAATTTAATATATCGCTAATTCACACAAGTCGCTTATAGGTAGCCGTAGCTTCAATTAGTACAGTGTGATAATCGTATATTATCTACTGTCTAATACTCATCATTTGAGGTACAGTTTATCTTAAACCGTGATTATTTGTTCTTATATCTGAATTTGTGGTTCGATCGCATTTTCAACTCATCATGAATTTACTAGATGTCGAAAAATGGGTTTCGGAAGTGCAGCATAAATATGATCTCCTCTTTTTGTTGGCTTAACTCGAGAAACAGCTTTTAATATGAGCTGAATGTGTATCTTTCTTTCGTTCTTTTTTCTTTAGGAAAGTGACTAAGTATAACTTTCAACTATATATACAGATTTCTTCGGAATATTATAATCCAACCAATTTGTCGTTACAATAGGCTTTCTCTGTAGTCAGCGTAGGTATATCTACTTGTCATAATGAAATATCTAATGTGTAACTGGGCTTAAAGCAAAGATTGCAAACGTTTCCATAGTTGACTCATATCCCTTAATTTTTTTGGCTTCTTTTTTATTTCAATGGTAAGCCGATGAGTTTGTTTGGCCTGATATAAGGCTATTACTAGCAAAAGCGGCGGATTCCGTACTAGCAGAGAGAATAAATCAAAAGCATAAAGCTCTCGGCGTTGATCAATCTCTGAGAGATGCGCCATGCACTCGTCTTCGAATTTCTTTGAGCGTCGGTAGTGCAACGGGTTAACACACGCTCCCGGACAGAGTGAAATGTGGGTTCAAAATCCACCTGAGGCACCGAAGAGCGCAGTGGTTAGAGGTGCTCTGCGTTGCACACGAGGTCAATGGTTCGATCTCGCGCTCATGACTCACCAAGCTAACCATCCCTACGGGGTCGGTAAATTGGTACCAGACTGGTCTCAGGCTTGTCAGCGAGGATAAGCAGCAATGACTCGGTTCAGCGGGAGGCCACCTTGATTCATTGTAAAGGCCAGATATGCATTTAATCACTTCAAACGAAGATGAAAATAGAAGAGGAATGCATGGCACATGCCTCAGGGATAGTAGAGAGAGAAAAAAGAAGTAATTAGGAAAACCTCAAATTGGCTTGACCGTAGAAGAATTCTATCGGAGGTCGACATTTTTGTCATCGCAAAGCATTGATTGGGTTGGGCATAGTGCAGTGGTAAGAGATTTCTTACAATACAAATGTGGATGCTAGTTCGACTACTCAGTACGGACTAATCAAGCTTTGCTTCGCTCTGGGCAGATTGATGCAAGACCTGTTTTGCATGAAAAATGTCGTTAATTAAAATTTAACGATCGGCTGCCGAAATTAATCTATAGGACAGATATTTTTCCTTCTCAGTGCTGAATTTTATCTTTTCATGGCCAAAGACATGTTGCTTATTAGTTTCTTATAATGTCTAGCACAAACCACGAGTTTGATCTATAGGACTTATTCAGCTGATGTTTCAACGTATTTACGCCTTTATCAGTGCCTACTAATTCGACCCGATTCTCCACAATCGTTCGCCCTGGTTGCGGTCATCCCCATCGCTCTCGTTGAGCGGTGCCCTCCCGAAGAATATCCGACGCACAAAGACAAACAAGTATGAAGCTTCGGTTCGGGTCCATCGGTTTTAGGAAAGACGAAACGCGTTGAAAAGTAAAGCAAAGAAATTTTAGACATGAACTTCGTCGCCTGTGCTAAATCAGGCAGAAAACTATTATTGATTGCTCATGCGAAATTCAGAGAAAGTCGATTTTGAAGTACTTATTGTTACTTTTGTAGAAGCAATTTCTATTCAGAACAGCTTTTAAGCCTATCTAAGAAAGCAAAGTTTACAACAGAATTGGCCATAACTCATTTTGATCATAGTGTCCATTTTGGCGTGGTACCATGCGCGACACCAGTCATACTAACAATGGTGGTATTTTTACTTTTTTGGAATCTATAAAGGTTTCTTACAAAAGACGGGTGCGAAAGGTGATAATTTATTTTCCTAGGCCTTATCAGTTCACCTTTATCATCAGAGCTTAGTTTAAACAAGCAAAATTGTCATACACAGCGTTTGAACTCACGGTGAAAAAATTGGGGGATAGCAAAGGTTTGTTATAACCTTTGAAACAGCGAGTAGAGTTTCTTCTTTCAACAATTCGTTTGAAGCGTACCAACCTCACTTATCAGTTCATGTATGCATCCAGTTTCGGAGAATCTCTAGTTTCTCGATGGCAGCAGGTGTTATCTAAAATGCATCGCATGGAAGTGCATATATATATGTAAATATATAAATAGAAATCTATATGTATATATATATATATATATATATATATATATCTGAAGCCTATAAGCCTATAAAATGTGAATGGCTTTCGTTGTTGTGTATTGCTCTTTTTGCAATGTATTTGTTTGATTTTCAGAAGCGTCTACAGTTACTTTTCAGATAAATTGGCTATCGATAAGGTTTTTTCATTAGGTTGTGCAGAAAATTTGTGTCATTGTGGTTTTTAATATGATCTTTCAATAAAATTGCATCATTCTAGTATCGTTCAATTGAGAATTTTCTTGCAAACATTTTGCTGTAGAACTTATTGACTTGCTTAAAGGCGGAGTCCTGGGAACAAATTCGCTTTTTACATATGTACGGATGGCACACAACGCAATATTATTGGAGCTTGGGGCGGTGATACGGTCGGCGAAGGGCGGCTGAGAAGTGATTTGTAAAGTTCAAAGCTTTAGAGAATAGTCTGAAGGATCAGTCGCGCTTGGGCCGCCCACAGGAAGTTGATCGTCAAGCTGTCCTTGAAATGGTCGAAAAGAATCTCTAAATGACATGCCGAATGCTAGCCGAAGAGTTTGATTATTGCTTTGAGACTATTGCCAACAATCTGCATGTACTGCGTAAGGTCTGGAAGATGTCAAAATGAGTGGCACATGAATTGACCGTAGCCTAGAAGCTGTCCTTTCTGCAACCGCAACATCGCACTAGGCTCCGTTGATCTTGCTTGCTTCTTTACTGACATTTTCCCAATTTCTCCATCCGCCAGGATAAGAGCAGCCTGAAAGCACTATTGCTCTTCGCTGTCAGTTTCGAGAAAGGGTGATGCAATGATGCCAGTGGATTTTAGAATGAGGATGGAAATAATAAAGTCGACAGTTTGAGGTTAAACTACGTTGTCATAGTTTCCATTTGACTGCGCAAAGTATCACATAAATATGATTATTTATGAGTCATATTGGGATGGAATTGGAGGAAAAGTCAATAAGAAAAGGCAACAAAAGAGCGAGTCGCGAAAACAGGCAACTAAAGAGATAATAAAGAATCAGCGAATTATGTTTACAAATAAGAATGAACAGGAGATAGAGCGAAGATAAGGTACATTTTCACTCAGATGGTTCTGAAATTAATGAAAAATGTTTGCTTTTAAGTGTCGTAAAACCACAACAATGCTGAGATATTGTGGCTTACAGCAGCCACCCGTCAGCAGGATATTATCAATGCATTAATTGACATCCGTGTCAGTAAATGTAGTGGGACTTTTGAAAATGTCGTCAACTTATTCTGAAGAGTACAATTCATCAAAGGCGTGGCTTTTTCTGTAACACTTTGGGTGTTTCAGCACCACCACACTTTGGTGGCATCATTTACGCGAACAGAGGTACTATAATTATAGTGGCTCACTGCGTCATTGTGGTGTGGGGTGTCATATTCAATTGAAATTTTACTTCGTCAGAGCAAACGGTTACTTTTAAAAAAATTGTCTAAATTGAGGACTCAATTGCTTTCATCGAGATGTTTAGTTAGAAGAACTGACTATAATGATGATATAAAAATGGTTCTGCACTTTATGTGCGGTCATTCTGTTGTGAGATGTACAACGTTTCATCTCAGACGTCCAAAATTTTCGACGTGCCTTTGAAAAACTTAGCTCTTTCAGGCTAAACGATTCTCCTTGCAATTCAAAAGACACCTCTTCAATCTATATAAGCAGCCAAGTAGTTGGCAACGATGCGAACCAGGAAACGAAATAGCACGCACACCTTAAAATGTTGAAGCAGAAAAATCACCATTTAAGACGTCAATAGGAAGGGAAGGCAACAAACGATTGAGCAACTGTCGATTCCACGCAATAATTTGACCATGGTTACAAAGGCAACGGTTGAGAAGCAGTGAATTGAACGGAGGAAGATGTGGGAGCTATCTGAGTCAATGAGTTGATAGCTACTCAACTCTAAAACGTTATAATAATGTGATGTACTTCATATAGATGAAATAAGGAAATATGTTTTCTGTGAGACGCTTAGCCAAAAAAAAGTTCACCTTAGTCTCTCTTGTCTCATCAACTAATCCATTTAGAGTCTCCTTTTCCATCAGCTCTGATTGACATGAATTTGCCTTTTTTGGTTAATGCTCGTTTTGATATTTCCTTTTCGTCTAATCAGGAATTTCTGATGTTTAGACGTCATTAGGAAGCCGTTCTAGCTTTTTGGCAGTTACCGCATGTTCCATATTACCCTACTATGGGTATGGTTTCCATTATATGCTGCCATATCCCCAGACAGCATTAGCCCAACCAACCACGTTTTAGGCAATCACGATGTCTGTCAGGTTTGGAAAAATATGAGTAAAGAAGGTGAGTGCGATTTCATGAATCATTGGATCACTAGAGAACGTGATAAAACTTGCTTGGTGTCAGGCATGAGTACCTTTCAGATGCTCTCAAGTCTAGACATTGATCCTTTGAGGACGGCTGTTGATCAATTTCCAATGCTTTATGAGTACTATTTCTTTCTTTTCGAAAAATCCAGGTCTTTAATATTTTTTTGGTGCTCCAAGGTTTTCTCTAAGCACTCATGTATTTTTTGAGTGTATATAACTTTTATGCGCGAAAGTGTGAAACTTAATTACCTTCATTCATAAAGCAAGCACCATGAAGACCTTCTAAAAAATCGAATCTAGCTCCTGAATTTCAAGGACCTATGCTATCCAAAATTATTAGTACAGTCCAATAAAAAGCCTCTCACAAATCCTAGTCATGCAAATATGGCACCTTGAATGTGAAAAATACGTTTATCTCCGCTGCTAGAACGCACTAAGAAAGCCTTTATGAAGAATCAAGCACAGAGTAGAAACTCCGATATTTGAGCTTTGAAATGATTACTAAAGTTGATTCTTACCGTCCGGAAAGGGTTCAACTATTTTCACATTATGCAGCCCAATCATCTCCTTTACTTTGTCCTTTTTCTCTACATTTTATTTTATATATCCTTTACTCAATCACAATAGAATGATTTAAGCATGACTTGAAGCGTTACGTTATACCCACCAAATGGAACAACGGCAGGTGGAATAGAATTGTTGGATCACCTGTCACCTGTCGTCCCGTTGATCGTCGAGTGACTCAAGCGGGTACCAGCAACTCTTCCATTTTTCCCTATCGCGTGCAAGAGTAGCCCAGTGGGTCCTCCTCGCTCTAGGAATTCGCTGAGCATCATATCTTTCTTCCATCGCTTTCGTGAAGAAATCGGACCAACGGGTCAGTGGTCTTCCTTTAGAGCGCTTGACGTCCCGAGGAATCCAGTCGGTAACGGCTCTCGTCCATCGGTTGTCGTTGAAGCGCATCACGTGTCCGGTCCATCTTATTTTCGATATCCTGGCGTGTAGAACGGCGTCTCTGATTTTCGATCGTTGACGTAGGTCGGAACTTCGGATCCTTTCTCTCATTTGCGAAATACGAGATACTCCTAGCATCGACCTTTCGACTGCGCGTTCGATAACGGCAAGTGATCTTTC